CATTCTCTAACATAATATTTCTCTCAAATAGCCTAAAAACTGCATTCTTTACTGACATCAAACGTTTTCGACTTCATCTCTATGTTTATCATTCGCTCAAAATACACCTCTTTCCTACTTTGGAACTAGTTTGAAATTGTGTAGTCACGAGTGGAGCGGTTCGTAAAAAAAACTAGTAACTTCCTCAATTCCAATTTCAATTAGTTCTTGTGTAAGGAAAGCTGGTCGAAATACAAATCCAGCAATGAAATTTGAAAACAGGAAGTACGACTGGAAACAAATTAGATGAGCTTAAAGGGATCAGAGTGGAAACATCTGATTAATTTTAAGTCCACAAATCTCAGTTTCACATTAGGTCACTGTGGCAAATAGCTTAACAATTATGGCTCACCTTTACGGCTTTAATTTTGTCAGCCACTTGATCAAAGTAGTCTTGAATGCGTGCATATGGATGATCATCTATCCGAACTTTCATATATTCGACCCCTGAAAATAAATCGATCAATAAAGTCAGGTGCTTTTTTGTGATACAGTAATATAAGGTCTTTCAACCTGACCAAAACCTTAGGATGTAGAAAAAGAAAGGAAAAAAACAATGATATTGTAGAAAGAAATCATATAATTTTCAAGCTTTCCTTTTTTTGCAAAACTCGGCAAATTAACGTTTAAAACACTTTCAAAAACCATTCCCGCAACCAGATATCGTGAAGGAACATTTATTCGAGGGGATTTCTCAGACTCTATTGTTTACAAATAGTTTCCTGTCTGAGAGCTTTCAGACATTTCCCGAGCAGCTGCTAAGAATAAGATTAATCATGCAGAAGTGAATTTTTAACTAGGTAAAGGTGTTGTTTCTGTCTCGGGAGCCTTCAATCATGTCCAATAAAAAACAATAAATAGGTTCGGCTGAAGGAAAGCAAAAACATTTCTGCTTAGTGCAAATATTTCAAATTGTAAAAAGCTGTTGCTACCTTTCTTTCTATTTGAATTTTTGGTCTTAATGGCCAAAATCAACAACTAAAAAAAATAGATAATTAAGCAGATTGTGCCTTTTTTTCC